ACCTTACGGTGCAGGAAAAAACTGACAATCCCGAACCTGGAAAGAGCTAGGCCACGCAGGACCGCCATAGCCGAAGGCGGCGGCTGGCCGGCCCCCAAGGAAGAGGCCTGCGGAGGAGGTTTTTAGAGAGAGAAGAAAGAGAGAGAGAGAAAAATGTTTTTTGTGGTTTTTTGGCAACCCGGCAAAGTATCTAGGGACCTTATTGTTTAGAATCAAGGAAGATTCCTACTGGACTTCGTGTTCATCTCGATTATTTTAACCATTTTTCAGGAACGAAGTTTGGAATGCTGGATGAGGATTGAAGAGTTTATTTTTCATTATACGTCATAGTGTAAATGAGAAAAGCTTGTTGTAATGAGAGATTCATGTGTATCTCAATGTGAATTTTGACATGTATTATGTTGTATTTATTCGAGAGAGAATATTATTATTGTTACTCCATGTAATGAGTATTTGTAATTAAAATTTGTAGTTAATAAAATGGACTTGTATTAAAGATTTTGGTTATATACGACATAGAAAGTATGTCACTAATGTTTAATTTATTACTTTTTACAACTTTACCTGTATGTCGTAAATGATGCTCAACTTTCCATGGCATGTTATATAATGATATTTGTGTGTATGTCGTGAAAGAGTTTTTACGGCATGCATTGCAAGTCGTAAAAATCCAATTTTGTTGCAGTGTGAATAAAAAACGTTAAATATTTGCAGAATCATATTTTTTGAATCCAATATGCTTCAATTTTCCTAAACTAGCGTTGCTCAATCTTTCCTAAAGCCTAGCTCAATTTTTTTGAATCCAATTGATGCTCAATTTTTCAAGATTTTTTTTTTTTTATTAGCTAAAGTTTCTCAACATTTTCACAGAGAAAAATTTGATTTAGAGAAATTTCGCCCAGCTCAGAGAAATTTCTCTGTGAAATCAGATAAATTTGTCTGTAAAATTGAAATTTCTTTTGAGTCTGGAAAAACTTTTTTAAGTCGAATTTCTCTGTAGAAATGTTGAGGACCTTAACTACTATGAAAATATTATATGCCTTTTATCTATATAAAATTTTAATATCAAGGACCTTAAAAAAAAAATTTATAATAAAACTGCCTCTTCGATAACAATAAATAAATAAAAACTTTTCCATGCCACATATACATAACTTTATAAGGCTATTTTCACAATAGACTAAAATAACAAAAAAATTTTTGTAAAAATACTAAAAAAATCAATTAATTCACAAGAATATCTGCACTATATTTTTGTACACGTCTTTTTTATAAAATGAAAGAGACTCTTTCTAATAAAAAGATTAAAAAAAAAAACTTACATTTTCGCTATGGGCTTGGTTTTACTTATTTTATTTTATTTTTATTTTATTTGGTGAAGGAAGTGTTGGATTGGAACTGAGGAGCATAGAAAAACTGTTTAAGAAAATAAATAAATCTCTCAAAGTTTGATGCTTACAATAAAATTAATCTTCAGTCTTTAATTTTCTTGATTTAAATTCTTATTTTTAATTTATTTTAAATTTAAATTATTTCTTATTTTTGTTAAGTAAAGTAAAATTAATAAAAATAATAATATTTTCGTTAAAAATGCCAAAACACAAAAACATTTTTCTCTCTCTCTCTTTCTCTCTCTCTAAAAACCTCCTCCCCAGGCCTCTTCTTGGGCCGGCCAGCCGCCGCCTTCGGCTATGGCGGTCTGCTGGCCTAGCTCTTTCCAGCGTTCGCTTGTCAGTTTTTTCCCACCTAGGTGTGTTTGTGTTGCTGCGGTTGGTTTGTTTTGGTGACTTGGGGGCCACTTTAGCTGATTCATCAGGGGACGTCCAGGATCTTCATTCGTGTGCTCTTTTGCGAGTAAGAGCTTGAGGGGTGAACTCTGGTTCAGGTTGGTGAAGAAGTTTCGATGCTTTGTTAGGACGAAAACATGGGTGTCGAAGTCGATCCAGACCTGTCTGGTTTTCATTCGAGCGCTCCTCTTCGGGTGAGAGTTTGAGGGGTGAACTTCTTCTTAATGTATGGAGGTGTCCCAACGGTTGGTCGGTGTTTTGGTCAGTGTGTGGCGCTACAGTGGGTGTGAGTTAGCGGTGTTGGCTATGGAGTTGCAGCGGAAGAGATAATGGTGGCAGTGGGTGATGATCTGTCTTCGGCAACAAGTGTTGGAGCTGGGTGATTGGTGTGTTCAGGTGTGTTCAAGTGGGTGATTGGTTGATGGTTGATTCCGGTGTTGGCCCATGGAGCTGTTGGCTATGGTGTTTTCCGATGGTTTGGCCTCGGGAGTGCAGCAGCATAGGCGTTGTGTAGCCTTGGGAGTGCAGCAACTTAGGTGTGGGTCTTGGCGTAGTGAATACGTTGTGTTCAGGCGGGTGGTTGGCCTTGGGAGTGTAGTATCCTAGGCGTGAGTGTGTGTAGCAGAATAGGCGTAGGTGGCGTGGGTCTCGGGTAGTGTGGGCTCTGGGTGTGTAGTAGGTGTATAAAATAATTGGGTTACCGGCTTGGGTGTTAGGAGTGTTAATTTTAGCAGTTTGGGTGTTTTGGTGGGTTGATTTTGTGGGGAATCATGTATTTTATTTTCTATTAAGTCCTTAACTTTTTTGTTTTTAAAAAAAAAAATTGTGAGGCCGAGGGGTTGGTTGTATGGTTGCGAGTAGCAATAGTAGGGGTTTTTTGTACTTTCCGAATCTCTCTCAGTACATTTCATCTTCCTGCACCTTTAATTTCATGTTAATTAATGAAATTTTTCTTTGCTGATCGAAAAAAAAAGGTCCCTAGATACATGTGGTCCTAAAATGCTAAAGAGTGATATAAACATAAATTCATTGTGCTCTTTTCATACTCAAATTATAATACATATAGGTAATATCATTCTCATAAAGAAATTCATGAAAACTTTTCAAAGAAAAGCCCTTTCATTTGTTTTTGTATCAGTCAAATATATATATTTTTTAAACAGAGTATTTTCAAGAATCCCTTGCTAATTTTAACTAGAAGTATGAACATAACAACGAATCACTCTCCTACATGTCACAACACATCATAACCCATTATAATCTACATAAAAAGAACCCATACAATTCTATATATTCGACTTTACCCAATCAAGATTATTCACTTTCCATTATCTCAAACACATGTACAAATCTCATTATAATCATTCCACACAATCCAAATTGGACTCCGGCTCCATTACCAAGACTTAACATCATACTGCACGCTTTACTGGTCACTAGCTGGAAAGAATGCGGAACCTCACACTTTACGGGTCATAAGCTGGAAGGAACCCGGAACCTCACGCTTTACCGGTCACAAGCCAGAAGGAACACGGAACCTTTACACATTTTATCAATCCACACGCTTTACCGGGCGCTACTCTGGAAGGAAAGCGGAACCTTTATTAAGCGCCACGCTTTGTCGGCTCAAATATGACAGGAAACAGACCCCAAGGCAACATTACAATCCATCAATTTCTTAGAGTCATTGCTCATTTTGAATTGTGGACAAAGCCAACACATTCATTTATCATTCCCATTACTTATTAGCTCAATAAGACGTACTCATTATGTTCCACAACATTCTCTAGTACTTATCAAGTCATTTGTTGTTATAATCCCGACAAAACCAATAACAACATTCATTATTTTTATCACAAAGTTCATCCAATAACACATCAGCATATGGCGCATTTTTAGAAGCATTCTCAATTCTTATACTCCAATGGTCTTTTAACTTTTCCACATAATTATCAAGTCTTCATACTCAATTTCATAACACAATAATCATCATAAATTATCCCCAATTAATTAATTTAATTACTCATCTTAATTTCTCCAACATAACCCTTCTATACAATAGTTATTTTTCAACCATTATTCATCATTATTTATTCTCATCTCTACAAAACATAAACTTAAAAAAGAAAAAGAAAAAAAGTACTCTCAAAGTGTGATCCTTACAACAAAATTAATCTTGAGTTTTTAATTTTATTAATTTAAACTCTAAGATCTGGTTTGGTAATATCACATTTTAGTCTAAAAGTCAAAAATCCAATAAATTATACCAAAAAAAAAAGTTTAAAGATTCTATTTTCTCTCTACTCTTTGCACATCTTTTCATAAAAAATAAAAAATTCATCTGAAACATACTAATTTTTTTTACCTTATATTTTAACTAAAAAAATCAAAAAGTTATTAAAATAGTTTGTTCCCAAACGAGGCATAAATTTTTAATTTGTTTTAAATCTAAATTATTGCCTATTTTTGTTAGGTAAAGTAAAACTAATAAAAACAATAATATTTTAATAATTAAACTCAAAAGAAAAAGAATATTTTAGACTCTCAATTTAATAACATGCATGAAAAGAAATAGAAATATATAGCGTTTATCCATTAAACAGTTAATGAAGCTGTCAAAAAGATACAAGTATAACACTGTGGCCCTTTATTTTTAGTAATGTAGGTTCCATTACAGTATTAGTCTGGGGCAGTGATAGTGACGTGGGAAACAAAAAAAATAAAAATAAAAAAGAAAAATACATAAGTTAAAAATCACATTATTACGTGGCACTCCTCATTAGATTTCTATTAGAATTCTTAAATTATAGCTCCCAGTATTTGATTAATGATCTCTAGTAGGTGACAGTGTTGTGTAGGGGTTCTAATAGTCAGGATGTCGAGGAGAGTAGTCGTCGTGGACAGTTTGACGGACTCGGTGATGGAGCTGGTGGAGGGGTTGAAGGCCATGGTGATGGAACCGGTGGGGTTGATGAAGCCGGCGATAGAGATATTGGAGGGGTTGATGGGCCTGGTGATGGAACTGGTGGAAGGGTTGATGGAGCCGGCGATGGATCTGGTGGAGGGGTTGATGGGCGTGGTGATGGAACTGGTGGAAGGGTTGATGGAGCCGGCGATGAAGCTGGTGGAGGGGTCGATGGGCCAGGGGATGGAGTTGGTGAAGGGGTTGATGGGCTTGGTGATGGAATTGAAGGAAGGGTCAATGGACTTGGTGTTGGAGCTGGCAGAGGAGTTGATGGAAGTGGTGGAGGTGGTGGAAGGGTTGATGGAGTTGGTGATGGAGCCGGTGGAGGGGTTGATGGAGTTGGTGATGGAGCTGGTGGAGGGTTTGATGGAACCGGCGATGGAGCTAGTGGTGGGGTTGATGGAACCGGCGATGGAGCTGGTGGAGGGGTTGATGGGCCTGGTGATGAAGCTGGTGGAGGGGTTGATGGAGCCGGCGATGGAGCTGGTGGAGGGGTTGATGGGCTGGGGGATAGAGCTGGTGAAGGGGTTGATGGGCTTGGTGATGGAATTGGAGGAAGGGCCAATGGACTTGGTGTTGGAGCTGGCAGAGGAGTTGATGGAAGTGGTGGAGGAGTTGATGGAGCCGGTAATGGAGCTGGTAGAGGGGTTGATGGAGCCGGTGATGGAGCTAGTGGAGGGTTTGATGGAACCGGTGATGGGTGTGGTATGGATGCTAGGATGTGCGACAGGTATTGATGAATCCGGTGGATGGAGTGGTGGTGGGGTTCGATGGAGCCGCGACTGGAGCTGGGTGGGAAGGGGATTGATGGCCTCGGATGGACCGTTAGTGGTGGTTGATGGCTGTGGTGATGGAATTGGAGGAAGGATCCATTGGACTTGGTATTGGAGCCGCGCGCGGCAGAGGAATTGATGAAGTGCGTGGAGCTGTGGAGGGGGTGCTGGCAGACCCGACTGAACTGGAGCTATGGAAGGGTTGTATGGAATTCGCGATGGAGTTGGTGAGTGCGCGTTGATGGCTAGTCTGCCGATGGAGGTATGATGAGAGGGTGATGTAGCCGGTGGATTGAGCGGTGGAGGGGTTCTGATCGAGCTCGGGGTTATGTGAGCTGGGTGGGAAGGCGGGGGTTTAATGGAAACCTGTGTGAGGGAGTTGGTGGAGGGTTGATGGGGCTTGGTGATGGAGGTCGGAGGAAGGGTCAAAGGACTTGGTGTTGGAGCTTGGCAGAGAGTTGATGGAAGTGTTGGACGTGGTGGTGGAGGCGAGATGGGGAAGATAGGTGGAAGGGGGATTAGTGGAGTAATGGTGGAGAAGGCGGTGATGGAGGTGGTAGAGGGGTGAGGGCGGGGGTGGTGAGGGCGATGGAGGCGGTGGACGGGGTGGTGGAGGAGGTGTGAAGGCAATGGTAGCGGTGTGGTGATGGAGGTGGAGATGGGGGTGGTTGAGAGTGGGGGTGGTGAAGGGAGGCGCGGGTGGTGACGGGGGTGGTGGAGGGAGGGTATGGTGACGGGGGTGGTGGAGGCCGAGTAGGCGGTGGTGACGGGGTAGTGGAGGGGTGGTGAAGCGATGGAGGCGTGTGGTGACGGGTTGAGGGCGGGGTGTGTGAAGTAACGGAGGTGGTGGTGAGAGGCAGTGAGGGCTGGTGTGGTGCGAAGGCGACGTGTGGCGGTTGGTGACGGAGGTGGGTGGAGGGGGGTGTGAAGGTGATGGAGGCGGTGGTGATGGGGGCGGTGTGAGGCGGTGAGGCCGGCGGGGCGAAGGCGATGGTGGCGTGGTGACGGAGGTGGTGGAAGGGGTGGTGAAGGCGACGGAGGCGTGGTGGAGGGGGTAGGGCGGGGGCGAAGGCGATGGTGGCGGTGGTGACGGAGGTGGTGGAGGTGGTGGTGAAGGCGATGGAGCTGTGGTGATGGTGTGGTGGAGGGGTGAGGCGGGTGGCGAAGGCGATGGTGGCGGTGGTGATGGAGTGGTGGAGGGGTGGTGAAGGCGACGGAGACGGTGGTGGAGGGTGAGGGCGGGGTGGCGGAGGTGGTGGGGGGTCGTGAAGGCGATGGAGGCGGTGGTGATGGGGGGTGGGGCAGGGAATGGCATGGGAATGGTCGGCATGGGGTGGGAATGGTGGCATGGAATGGTCGCATGGGAATGGGATGGGAATGGGAATGGGCGGTTTAGGATGATGTGGTAAGTTATCATCATCAGCAGTATATACAGTAGTTGCTCATAGCATGAAGATTGCTAGAACCACCCATAAGTTCACTTTGTTTCTCTTGCTTTGCCATTTCAACAAACAAACAGTGATAAAGTTGTGTTTTGATATCTTCAATATTCATTGTAAGTAAAATCAAACTTTGATAATAACAATCTGCTACGTTTTCAGTTCACCCACATTTTTACTGTTTAGTTTATTTGATGGCAACACGTTAACCTATACCTCACTATATAGTTTGTCCTTAAGAGATCTTTTTGCAAGTACTTAATGTTCGTGCCTATTTGTTATCAAAGTTGCGGGGGGGGGGGGCACTTTCATAATTTGACTTGAATTTATTTTAATTTCTATTATTTTTAAATTTGAACAATTTAATTCTCACAATTTAAGTTTAGTTTTAATTTCGTTATATTTGTCAATTTTTTTCACATTTATAAATCAAGAGAGTGGCACTTGTCACAAAATAATAATTTTAATGTCTAATTTGAACATGAAAACTAAATTTAAACTACATTTTAAATATCGAGATCAAATTGTTTAAATTAAAAAAATAAAAACCCAAAATCAAATTTAAATAAAAAAAATATGCCCAAAAAAAATAACTTACCCAACTTTTTTTAGTACCATAAATGTCAATAGGCTAAATTTGTACACGCAAAAAGAGCCCAACCATATGGACCCCTATCCAAAATTTAAGATAAATTACTAATAGGTCTAATAATTAGATTTAATTCCTATCAAATTCTATTGGAATATAAATCTTAATATAAATTATTGTTAAAAATAATTTTTTGTAACGATTTTTGTTATGTCTGTTAAAAATTGCGAATTATTAACTTTTATTTTACGATTTTATAAATTGTCACTAAAATTATAATTTGCGACGTTTTTTCTGTGTGAATTTTTCAAAACCGTCATTGAAAGTTGAAAATAGTGTACATTTTTTTGTAACGATCCTTTTTAATACTATCGCTAAAATTTATAATTAGCGACATTTTTTTGTCACAAATTTTCAAACTATTACTGAAAATTAACAATTATTAACATTTTACTAGTACTTGATGAAAACGTTATTAATTTTTATCATGACTTATTGACAATAAACCAATCTATAATCCTCTATACGTAAATTCCTCAAAATTTATGCCCCACATCTGATGGCCTCTCGGTTCCAACCCCACCCCCAAAACCCTTCCTTAATATTTTAAAAATTAATTGCAGGCCCATTGCTAAATAAAGGTTACTTTGTTCAATATTTGTATCTATACTACTATAATATAAGGCGCCTGTTTGTTTTGGGTTATAGTAAGGGATTAGGATTACTAGTACCTTGGGTAAGTATATGGGTTGTTTGTTTGAGAGAATAGGCCTGTGACATTATACCTGCGTTAGCTGACTGAATACGCTTGGTATCTACTATATATACCTTGTTTGTTTTGAGAGATAAAGGAAGGTACTACTAATACCTTTGGTCATGTTCTGATTCACAAGATTAATAGTGAAGTATTAATAATCCTATTAAATTAGTGTGTATTCACTATCCAATTGTGATTAATATCCATTGGATTAATAATCCCACCCCTTACCCATTACTAATAATCCTACAAATTGTGGATTAGATTATCCATTGATTAATAATCCTAACCAAAATGCTGAAACACAACATAGATAATTTGGGGTCCACAGATTAATAATCTAATCCATGCTCTAATTCACCCAATCAAACATTGCCCTTGTATACTATACCCTTGGGAGGGGATTCATAGTGAGGAGTGTAGGATGATGGTATTAGAAAAATAGTGAGGGCATTAGAAATTTTTTATTTTTTTATTTTTATATATTGGAAATTTTTTAAAATATTATTTTTAATTTTTTATATTTTTTTATTTTTTATTATTTTATATAAAAATAATTTTAAACAGATTCCCCCACTTACTAATCCCCTCACTATCAATCTGTTCACTACTAAATCCCCTCACTATCAATCCCCCTCACTAACCAATCCCCTTCATTATTAATCCCCTACTATTCAATCATCTCATTCTATCTCTGAAAACAAACGACCCTACTAACAAATCCCCTCACATTAATCCCTCACTATCAATCCCCAGAGCCCGCGTTTGTTTCCAGAGATGGAATGAGGGATGATAGTGAGGGGATTTAATAGTGAGGGGATGTTAGTGCAGGCGTCGTTTGTTTTCAGAGATAGAATGGAGGGGATTGATAGTGAGGGGATTAATAATGCCATGGGATTGTTAGTTGAGGGGATGATCAGTGAGGAGATTAGAGTGAGGGGAAATGATAGTGAGGGATTAGTAAGTGAGGAACTGTTTAAATTATTTTTATATAAAATAATAAACAAAATAAAAAAAATATAAAAAATTTAAAAATTATATTAAAAAAAATTTCCATATATAAAAAAATAAAAAAAATAAAAAAAATTTCTAATCCCCAATGTCATCAACTATTATCTTAATAACCTACCGTCTACCATCGCTCACTAGTATGACATCCCGCCTCCGCCAAGGCGTATTCGAGTAATACCACGGTATTAGTAATACCCTCCCTATCTCTCAAACAAACACCAGTATTATAATACCAATATAGTATCCCAAGGTATTAATAGTCCCAAGGCCTATCATCTCAAAACAACACACGACCCATATACTAAATCCCGAAGATACTAGTAATTCCAATCCCCTTGCTATAACCCAAACAAACTGGGGCCTCTTATTCCATCTCTGGAAACAAACGGGAAATGAAATATAGTGAGAGTGTCTAATTAAGATTTTAACACCTACATGTTGCAAGTGTTTATGCCAACAAATACAAACACAAAAGTTCGTGAAGTATATCTGACGTTTTATTAGGGAACAATTTCAGTCCCAATTTAGATTCTAAGAAATATAAATAAATAATAAATTTATTGAATATTAATAATTAAATTATAACGGAATGATAAAGAAAGATGTGTGTGTGCCAGTGTTTGTGAGATAAACGTTTTTTGGTGATATGTGGAGGGGTAAATTACACTGACCTTCCTTGAGATTTTGAAAAATATAGTAATTAAATCTCATAGTTTTAACATAATTACATTTTACTTCTTTAAAGTTTAATTTGTATAATACTTAATCTCTTTTTTTTAGCAATAATTATATAAATAGAAAATATGTTGAAAAAAATGGTTTTAAAATATTATTTTTCATACTCTTTGAAATATAATTAATGTAAGACCCAGATGCGATTTTTTTGTGAGTTCGAGTGGTGATGAATTCATTGCCGTGTGACGAATAAGAATATATAATTAGTTAGTCAAAACTATTTACAAGCAAATGAAAAATTGAATTCAAAGTGAACCTCATGAACTTGGTATATGATTGTATGGTTCTCAACTAGTTGTTGTGTATTCTCGTCTCACATAGAAAACTTGCGATAAATTTTAGACTCTTTATAAACTCCTAGTTGGACAAGTGGTGATGGCCCCAAAGGACAACCGAGTTATATAAGGTGGGGGAGGGATGGGCAAAGGTGAGTTGGCCCCAACTGGACCCAAAATCACACACTGCCACCCTTCCCTAGACCAAATTTGAGTTGGATTGGACTAGCTCAATATTTCTCTTTTTAAATTTAAATTTTTGCTCTAATTCAAATTTCAGATTCAAAATCTTAGGCCAAAACTTTTGAAATCCAAATTCGAACTCTGGTCATCTTCTCCGATCGGTCGCATCTTTTGGATGCGACTATAAAGTCGCAACTTTTTTGCTCATTCGAACACATTTCTTTGCCTATATAAAGGCGATCCCTCTATCCATTTTGCTCATCGAATTTGTTCTTTGCTTTTATCTTCATCTTCTATTCTAATTCTGAATATTATATATTCTAAGAGATTGAAATTGTGAGAATGCAAAGCGTAATCTTTGGTTCGTTGTACACACAAAATATATGCATATTCTGTGTCGTGATGATTATTGTATCTTAGAAACATAATGTTCATTCCATCTTAAAAATACAATGTTCAAACACTGGTTTCAATCACAATCTATTCTTCGCAATATACAAAACGTTTGTAAGTAACTTTGTTATTTGTTGTTTATTTACTTAGTTTGATTTTCGGAAAAACTATACCGGTGGTCCTTACATTTTACCCATTGTCATTTTAATTCAAGAACTTTCATTTGACTTAATTTTGACCCTTTTAATTTTTTTGTCCATTTGATCCAATTGATAATATCATTAGTGTTTTTTCTTATGAAAAATTATCACTAATTTGATTGAGGTTAACTCACTGAGTTTATTAAATTTATAATTTTGTTCTTAAAAATATGACACATGACATTTTTGTTCGCATTTTTCATAAAAAGATGCTAAGAGTTATAATCATTTTGACCAAATTGAGACAAAATCATTAATTCATGGTCAAAATTGAATCAATTGAAATTACAAAGACCAAAATGACACAATGACCAAAGTATAGGTACTACTATCTTAATTTTTCCTTGATTTTTTATTTGCATTATAAATTGATTTCTTGAAATTGTTTTTAACAAAAATGATACTATCCCCTCTTTTATTTTTAATGATTTTTTCCCATTTTTATCATTATATTTTTACACTATTTGCATTAATTTCAACTTCCTTAACTTTACTTTAAAAAATAATTATAACTATATATTAAAATTGTAAATCAATTTATATTTTTTTTAACCCTGAAGAGAGGTCATTGTAATTTACCCTATGCGGAGAGCAGTGTTGGACCATAGCGTTTAATGTGCCAACAGGGGGTGAGTTTGCGATCAAAAACAAAACAAACAAACAAACAAACAAAAAAATCTTTTGAACCTCTTTATTTTTATTTTTAAAATTTTCAAGTTCTTCTAGAGTGGAA